GGGGGGGGGGTATCAACTAATGCATTACAGGAAGGAAGGGCACCTCTCCAAGCTTGCATATGAATATCTAATCAAATGGACAAAAACACGTTCAGACATGTAAAAAAGTTTCAACTTCATAATTTTTTTTGGATAAATAGCGGTACGTGCTGTATGTGCTAGATTTCCTATTTTAAAAAAAAAATTTGGGTCACATGAAATGTTAAAAAACCTTGTATTTAGAATAAAAACAAGAATTTAATGTGAATACGAAGTTGATAACTCACCTTCAAAGATGAAATGCTGAGGAAAAGATGCAACTACATAGGTAATTTATAAAAACTCAATTTGAAACAGAGCTTGCAGCACAAGCAGCAGTATTGTTGTCATTCAGTGGCATTTCATGACGAGTCTCCACATTATCAAGGTTTCTCTGCTGTCTAACTGAGGAATCTGCTAGACTGTCTGATGTGGAAACATGGCGAGCTCTAGTAGTTTCCCTGGTTTCAAGGCGCTCGATCATGCGAGATACACTAGCCATTCCAGCATCCACTTCTCTCCTAACTTCAGAACCAATATCTGCCATGGAAGTGTTTCGAGAGAAGAGCCTCTCCTTCCACCCTCTGGTACTCTTTGAAATTGACTCTTTGTATCTTATACACAACAAAATCAGATAGACATAAATCAGACTAAGCCCCAGAAAAATGTGGGAAAAAAGCAAACAAAAATTGGGCATACATGAAGGACATTTGGTAAGAAAATGTTTCTATGTGATACATACTTTATGGACATTGCATTCAAACGAGATTTCCAAGTATCTGAAATTGACAGGAAGTCAGATGGTCCTGCTCTATCTTGGTTGGAGGATTGACCAGCAGAGGTTCTATGAGTATAATATTAAGTAAATAGCATGTAAGCAAAAAAAATTGTGGCATAAATTGATCTGACAAAAAAGTGCATATGCAATAAGATTATTAAATCATCACAACTTATTGTAACATTGGATACTTGCTTAAAATAAGCATTACCTAGTATCAACAGAGATTCCTTGTCGATTAGTTAGTACGACAGTTGATCCGGATGACAACACGGGATTTTGAATGCTTTGGACAGAAGGGAATGGTGGCATATGTTGTAGAGGTTCACTGGCAACAGCTGTAAGTGGAATCGATGGAGTAGCAACAGTAATAGCAGCTGGATCAGATTCCTCTTCACCTGGAGCTAAAGTAGAAACAGAACCAGAAGACGGTACATTTGGATGAGTTGAAAACAGCAAGAACTGCTGAGGACCATGAGCAGATGACCGAATCCGCGAGCCCTCTCTCCGTGCAATATGGCGGACTCTTCCCATTGCAGCAGCTGCAGCCAAGTGCTGGATAATGCGCTCTTCAAGCTCAGCATCATTTACTCCAGCAGGTAACTGCATTACAAAGAGAGTAATCACAGAGTATTAAACAGCTAATTATCAAAAGGAGAAACCGGGATTTTTTTTTTTTATTTTAAGCAAGGAGAAACCGGAAATTCAAATATTAGGCAACGTACATGCTGTAATTCAAAGTCCCAAAGAGTGGGATGATGAAATATTGTGGAATTTCTTGTTGGCTTAAGCCTAAAGCTCCTCTCTCGTTCTACAGCCTCAAGCAATTCTTGACTGCCATGACATGGAAAATAGATAGCACCACCGAAATTGCTACAATCAACAATCCCCAAGAAGAAACTACTGATAAATTTCATTAAAATAAATATAAAGAGAAACCATAACAAACCTGGTGGGATTTTTCAAGCTAATAGGTTGCCAACACATTGGACAATTAGAGCTTCTCTGACACCTATTGGAAAAATGTAGAGGAATTCAGATGTCTTGATCATGCTTCATAATCATGTAGTTCACAAAAATTCCACAATGTTGTTTCCATAATGGTACACCATTACAACCTCATATAGAAGACACCACAGCATCAGTTCTACTAATGCTGTTGTATTAAAAGGATACCTTGAAGGCTGAGTTAAAACTGAACTTTTAAACAACTTGATATGAACCAAACCATTCGAGAATACATATAAGAAGTCATAGTATTTTGATATAGATAACAAATGAACATACAGAAAACTGGAATTATGTGAGAGTGAGACCAAACCATTCAAGAATGCATTGAAGATGGAACTCATGCTTGCAACCAGTGCCCTGCAACACCACGAGTTAAGTGATTTCAATATATTGTATACAACATATCACTACATCTATAAATCAAAAGGCATAGTATTTTACTGTGGAAGGATCGCTTTCACAGAAGGCTTCAAGGCATATGCTGCAAGCATCATCACAGGCTTCTAGAATTCCTCCTTCCACAAAGGCTGCAGCCGATGTTATATGACTGTCAGTCTTGGTGGTCTCTTCAATTCCTGGAACCTTTTAGACAAAACTCACAAAATAATGACTCAGAAACAATTAACCAAGACCAAAAAAGTTCCAAACTTACATGTAAGTTGCTATGGTCCCTAATTTAATTTATCAGAGAGTCAAATTTAAACCTCCCTGTCAGGGAGAGGAGGTGGAAAAGGCCTTATCTTCCTAAGAATCAAGCAAATCTAGTGCCCAAAACTAATAATTATCTATATATATATATATATATATATAAGAATACTTTGAATACTTCTACAATTACACAGAAAAGCATCAAATTTTACTAAAACCAAAAAAAAAAAGGAAATTATCTTCAGAAAGTGAGCCAAAATTCAATTCAGCAAAAGCAATCACCATACCAGCCACAGAATCACAATACACAATGCAATATATATTTAAAAAAAATCTCTACTTTTCAGAAAAACATTAAACATAGAAGACCATTTAATGTGAAACGATATAATTACAATTTATTAAACACTTAATCCATCAAAACGAATAAAAAAATGATCAAGGTGCTCCAAAGTTGTATAGAGGTCAACACAAATCAAGGGTTTTTACCTCCATTATGGTAACAGAAATGTTCAAGAAAATGGGTCAGGAAAAGGAAGAATCGCCCATAAGAACGAAAGATCGAGCCTTAAATTCCCACCTTCAAAAAAGCAACGCTAAAATTCCATGGAATTCAGAGAGAAAGCGAGCGAGAGAGAGAGAGAGAGAGAGATTAAGGAGAGAGAAACAGGGGAGGAGCAGAGATGGAATCAGAGGTAAAAGTTCAACTTTACCTATTTTTTATCTTCAATTCTATATTTATTTTTTTCCTTTTTGGAGTTTATTTTGGTGTTAAAAAAACCATATGGCATGTATCAGATGGGGTCTATGCTTGATTCTACTTGTTGATTCTTTCTCCACATTAAAATTATTGAATTCCATGGTCTATGATTGGATAATTTCCTCCTATGATCCACATGGCCCCCACAAGCAGATTTTTATTTTATTTTATATTTGTGATTGCGGACTGGCTTGTACATACTTTGACTATTTTTCTTCTCGACTCAATCAAAACTTCAAAAGTATATCATTCACGCTGAAACTAAAATATCCTTAACGAGTTGCCAAGATTACTACAGGAGCTACCCTATAGGGTTAGCAGATTTTTATTTTAAGTACACATGACCCATAAATTATGTCATTTATGCTAATTAAGTCATTGATTATATCAATTTAGCTCCTCAATTAAGTAATTTGACTCAATATAATCCGTTTGTCTAAATTTATTGTTAATTTTAACGAAAAGTCTCATGTACACATAAGAATTACAATAGTTAATTAAGACCACACAAATGATGTGCATGTGACACAGTCGGTTAAAGTTAACAACGAATTTAGACGAAAGAGTCGTATTGAGTTAAATTGTATAATTGAGAAGTTAAATTGATACAAAAATTAATTAACATAGATGTCATAGTTTAGGGGTCATTTGTATAATTTACTCTAATATTTTTATTGTTTTATGATGGTACTTAGAAGAAATTTTAAGTATGAACTCGGGCGTGGAGGTCAGATAGGGAGCTTAGCCAATAGATTCTAAGCTCGACAATCTAAATCTGAGACCCCCCTTGACCTGTACTCTGAAGAGAGTACTTCGAAGAGAACGCATGAAAGACAAATGACAGTCACGAGGCATCCCCCCCAACAGTAACAAGCTTCAATTTAAGCACGAAAATCCTTGAACCATCGCAACTGTCACCCAGAATGAAGCAAGACACCACAGGAAGGAGACGAAGATCTCGCCATAGATTCCACAGAATTAGGAATTAGACTATAAATATTGTACAGTGCCTCCAATATGGGATAAGCACTTCGGATTGTATCAAAAACACCGTAAAGTCATTCCAATGCCATTAATATAGATCCAAGGAGCAAGAGTTTCCATTGAAGAGTGGATTAGCCGAGTTTCAAAACTGGTGAACCACTATATTTTCACTGTACAAATCATCTCCTACCCAACAAAAATCTTATTATAATCTTCACGAGCCTAGAAACTCAAACGAGATCTTACTCAAATACACCACATTCTGCTCACCCACGTTTCATACACCATCAATTTTTTTTAAATAGGTGGTATATTTGTATTTAGATTTGTCTGGCTTAGGTTTTCCATTTTGGTCTCATCAGTATGTTATTCAAGATAAACAATTGATAAATTTTGATCCCTTTGTTTTTTTTTTTTTTTTTTGTGAACATGCTAATCCCTTTGTTCAATCAATTAAGTATTTGTATTTAGTGTACATACCTAATTTAATTAAGATTAATTTAGGGGAGAAAAATGCAAACTTTACTCAATCGTCTAGGTATTGTCATTGCATGGGTGGGCTTAATTACAAGTGGGCTGACCCGAGTCACATGTGAACTTGGGTTGTCAATGCTTAGTACTTAACCGAACGTGCCAAACCCAGCTTGATGGCACAATATTTAAAAATATAAAAATGGCTCCAAATGGAACATTCAAGAAAACAATTTTGAGGTTAACGGTTGGCCTAATGGCCGCAAAAATTGTGGATTTGAACCTTGTCATCCCCTTTTTCTGTAATAATGCCTGACCAAAAATAATAATAATAATTTTGAATTTTTTTTGATCCTTTGGTCTTGTTTCATCATCAAAATTAGAAAAATTAATAGAACCCCATTTCAGCATTTTTGTTGGGCCTGAGGTCTTAGAATATGAACGTAAAGCTGGCCCAAATTAAGACTGATCTAAAAAGGTAAACCCAAAAGAGTCCAATGGGCATTAAAAGATAAGGGCCCCTGAAGTGACCCATTAGGCCTGTTGATCGATTTTGCCAATTCAATTATTACATTAAATAATCAATCAATTCATCAAATAAATCTATATGTATATATAATCTGGAAATCTAAATATGTCAAGTAAGATATCATATATTCGGATTCGAATAATTGGTTAACATACTTGTGTATCCGACTAAATAAATTCAAATTCGGGTCAAAATCCAATGACAATGCAATTTTGTTTCTTTTTTTTTTTTCTTATTGAAACTCAAAACTATCATATTAGTCAAAGTTAGTTTGACTTAGACTGAAATGAACTTCGATCAAGCTCACTTAATGGAATGACCATTAAGGTTCCACCATATTCAAGTGGATCTCACAATATCCATCCTACAAACTCATTCAAGTTTGGACCAACTATTTCCTCGAGTTCAGTTATTGACCACCATAACTTGAGTTGGTGTAGAACATGCTTTTAAAGGAACGAGAGTGACTAGTCCTTAGGGGGGTGTGGGAAGATATTGAACAAAAAACATACCCAACTACCGAACTAGCCCTATGGGTTCAAAGACTTTGTATTACTAGTTTTTGTGGCATGTGTGATGGGTTTGCGATTTAATGAATGTGTAACATATATGTGAAATATTTTTTACTACAGTGTTAATCATGGATGTGTGTGAAAAGATGAGAGAGAGAGAGGGGAAATGTGAACATGTGATAGAAATGAAAGGGATATATATACAGAGAGAGTCATGGGAGAGTAGATAATTTTACTTAAGAAGTTAACTTTAAGTTAATTAATACTAATAAACTACTAAATAATTGTCAATAAAGGGAGAGAACACCAAACACCATTCCTCCTTGTATTTATTGTACATATGTTGCCATGACCATAGGGTAAATTTTTATTTTTTGACTTGTCACGATCAATACAAGAATTGGTGAGAGGAAAATGAAATATATAATCATGCCCAATAGAAAAACATCGTCATAGTCAAAACTTTTTAAATCTTATTAGTTATTTAAAGAGTTCTTCAAAAGAGCTATGTACTTTTTGATAAATAATTTTAATTTTGTGTATATCCTTACAAATTTTTCTTTTTATTAAAAGTTTTTGGCTTTGAACAATCCACAAGAAGTTATAGAGCATTAAAAATCGAAAAAGGAATTACAAAAAACTTTTAGAAAGCTCTGTTCCAAATGATCGGGAAGTCGTCACCGAATCCGAGTAGAGTTGATAAAGCGAAGTGATCATTGCTTGGAGACCTGATGGATGGGACTCTCTCCCATACTTGAGTCGATCTACCATATATGATTAATAAATAAAATATGTATGAATTTTTATATAATATAACTTTGATATTTTAACACGGACACGACTTAGTGCTAGATTTTTCAAAAATCGAGAGCTCATCAAAAGCCAGATTTTGGTAGGGCCCATATTACTATGAATGGTTTTTAAAGTAAAAATTCAGATCCCAAAAAAAAAAAAAAGTATTCCTATTTACATTTTGCTTTCTAAAAAGACATAAAAAGGAGTTCAAAATGTATGAAAATTGATGCATTGAAAACCTAAACTTAATGGGATTTTTCAAGATGTTAGGATGGGATGGGTCCAAACAAAAAAGAAGAAAAGATGGGTATTATTATTATACGAAGAAAATAGCATCCAAATGGGCCATACAAATGATACTAACAAGAGAAAAAAAAAGGTGAGACACCAACTTTATCTCATAGTGTTAGAGATTTTGTGCACATTTACTATTATAAGTAGCTCTTTACCATGAGAAAAATAAAAATAAAAGACACTGAAAAGGATCTGAAAGTCTAAAATATTGAGTTTAATTGTCGAGCAACATGTGAAATGATCTTTGAATCGGATTTAATGGACAAACTTTAGCACCCAAATTGACTTGTTAATACGTTAAAAAGACGCTTTTGACTTGCCATGACTTATTGGTTTGCCAAAGTCTTCCTTCAATCATTTTTTTTTAAATGATTAAGAATGTCCGAACCAATTAATACAAACATTAATTAATTTTTTATCCGATACAATTAAAGGTTTACCATCCATGTCGAGACTAAGATATTCATGAGAGGATAATTAGTTCATATATCATATAAGTGAATGATTAAAGAATGAGGTATGAGGAGAAATCCATTGGGACATACGAAAATGTTCAAAAAAAAAAGTGGGATAATTTCTATGTACCATTGGATAATTATTTTCGTTACTTTTTTACTTTTCGTTTTTGAATCCTTTTTAAGTAAAATTTGATAAAAACACTCATAAATGTAACAAATTATCCATAAAAATAATTTTTTTTTTAGTACTAAGAAAAGTGATAAAATAATTTTTTTTTTAGTACTAAGAAAAGTGATAAAAATAATTATCAAAAATATGGTAAAAATATCTACAAAAATAATAAATTATTCACACTAGTAATAAATTTTTTAATTATAAAATAACCTATAAAAATTAAAAATACAATACCAAAAACTTTTCTTCAATACTAGTTAGGTCCTAATTATTTCCTTGTCCGTTAGCGAGTCATTTCAGGTTCCTTTCCGTAGTAGTGACTTGTGACTTGAAGAAACAGGGAGAGATTAATGAATGTGAATTGATTACGTTATCGGAAAAATAAAATAATTTTGGTATTATATTTTTAAATTTTATTACTTTAATAAGTATTTTTATAATTTTTATAAGTGATAAAGGTATTCATAAAAATAATAAATAATAATAAAATACTAAATTTTGTCCCGTAGACTTGTCAGAATAATGATGCTGCTAAGTACCGATCGAGTGAGATAATTTAATGGAGTATCGATCGAATTTTTCACTTTAAAATTAGAGATTAAAGTCTTAAAATTTACATTAAGGTTCGGTGATTTATCGACATACTAGCCAAATTAAATTTATTTTTTTAAAAAAATATCGGCACGATCAAACACCTCAAATGACGGACGCGATCTAGACCACTCTTTTCCTAGCACCATTTTTTTTTTCTGTTGACGATGATGAAATGATGCTGCTAAAGCACACGTTGGGGGACGTTGGGGGACCATACGAAACCCACAGTGACTGGTTGCAGTCCAGTTTGAAGTTAACAATGGTACTTGGACAATGACTAATCAATACAAGTACAACCTACATAAAGCCACCTAGTTGTTTGCCACATAAATTTCAATTAAATTATTATTAAATAATACTCCATTGTACAAAAAAAATAAATTCTAAAAAACAATCATTAGTTTTAACTTGTTTCTTGATTTATTTATAATTATTATTAATCGTAAATATAAAAATTTCAGACGTGTCACGTTTTAATTATACCAAAAAAAAGAGGACGGTATTGTATTGTAAATTTTTAATTTTTAAGTACAATAATTGTATGAGAATGTAAATTTTTTTTAAAAATAAAAAATAGGAACCCATCAATCGATTTCATTTGGACTCGTGGTCAGTTGTCAATTTAGACTCACGTGCAGAGTCTTCTCTCCACACACAGTAGTTAAAATTAGGGGAAGTGATCCCCAGAATTATTTTCATTCAATGAAGTATCGAATCCTTAACTAATACCTTTATTGGGGTTGGCAAAGTTAAAGAGTCTAAATTGTAATTCTTCACTAAGACTTGATTACGATAGTGGAAAAAAATTTGGTATCGTACCTCTAAAATTTATTATTTTAGGAGGTGTTTAAATAACTTTTATAAGTTAATTTATAATTAAAAAATTTATCACGTTCGTAGATAATTTATTATTTTTGTGAGTGTTTTTACAATTATTATAATAATTATTTTTATCACATCCTTGCCTCTTCATCAAAACTTTGCAGTTTTTTTAGTCATTATTATGGTATCTTTCGTGAATGTTCATTATTCGTTTTTAGGATAAATGACACTTTGTCCCCAAGATTTATGTCCGATTTATAATGAAACTCCCTTACTTGCAATAGTAATCTTCAAATCATCATCAACTTGTTGATGTCATGATCAAATATATCAATATCATGCCCTTTAAGTCTTTAACAAAGTTCATTTTCCACTGCTAATCCATCTTGATCACGTAATTACTAGTAATAACAATGACACTTCCTTCGAAGCAATAAATAAATCAAACGATAACAAGAAGTTTAGAAACTATATAAGTGAATGCGTGTTGGACCAAAATGCTTGTTGTAAGGGGAAAAAATGGATTTATCTCACGTAACTCTCTTTTTTGGGTCTGAATTCGAACTTTGTCGATTTCTCATTGTAAAACGAACAAACTGTCAAGGATCGAAGTGTTTCGATCGAATGCATTCCGATACTTAAGTCAGTAATTGAATAATGAATGAGAATGCAAAAAGGATTCAAACACCTTCACCGTGTTTTATTCATTCTTTTTTATAACGATTCCTCCTGCTGGGGTTTTGGTAATAGACGTTATCAGATGACACACCTTACTTCAATTCAGGATTTCTATTTGGAAACTTGCAAGAATTTCTCTTAACCTTTTTTCTATTAACTAGCACCTTCTTATTCGAAAATCATGGTCCAACTATATCAATCCCTTGATTGTGGCGATTCGTTTAAGGCGATATTTGTCTAAATGTAGAGCTAGATTTCTGTCGAGGCCATGCACGTAGAGCTCTGTTCTATCGAAGCCGAGTTGTTACTTCTTTTTTGTCGAGCAGATGACAGTTCGACAGGTTACTTTGTTGATTGACTCATAATTTCCACACGTGTTTTGATGACATCATCATCACGTGGGGGCATATTTAATGCTCATTACATGTGTTATAATTCCTGATGCTCCTTCACTTACCATTGCACCAAAACTCCCAAATGTTAGTGAAGAAGTAGCATCTTTTTTTTAACTAGTTCATCAACAAGCGACTACGAGCTTGCTTGGTTAAACCATCCCTCGAGTCTCAGAGAGACTTGCTTCACCTCTTTTCAAACTAACAATACGTGCAAATTTTGAATATATTTTACCTAATATCATACTATTTATCAAAATACTATCCCCAAAAAGACCGAACTTTTAGAAAAGTGAATAAAAATTTATCAATCAATCCGAATGGATCAATTGATATATATAAAGAACAAGTCCATTTCAACATAAAAATATAAAAATGCCTTGCATGGTGATATATATATTTTTACAACACATTGCCAAACACAAGTACAAAAGTGTGGAACATTTCAACAACTCATCCGTATGAGCAAGAAAATCAGTCCAAAGGCCAAACAATGAGCACTATGCTCCAAAATATCTCCTCCTGTACATGAACAAGAAAAACATAAGTATTCCCTCTTTCATTGACCAAACACAACATATATTAAACACACATAATAAACATGGGTAATTTTACAATATCAAAAAATAAATATTGAGTATATTATTTTTTATTATGAATTTTAATTTTGGTTATATAGTGTCGGAAATTCATGTTGGGGGTGATTTTTAAGTATATTATCAATGTGTAATTCCAAAATTAATGTTGGAAAATGAATTTTCTATAAGTTATCAATTTGTAGTGGTACCCTAATGAACATAAATAGCAGGTAAGCGTAATTTTATTTGGACCTAATTAATAACTTTACTGACCTAATTAAAAATAATTAATTGATTCACAGTGAACCCAAGTGCAAATTGACAATAACTATTAATTTTGCAAATTATAATATTATTGGGTAGATATTTGCTTTCAAAGGGTAAGGATCAAAATTTATTTTAATACATTTTCTCAATCACCTGAGAAACAAAAATATTTAAAAAAAATTTAAAAACAGAATATTTTGCAAATTTTGAAATTTATTTTTAAAATATTCTAAAATATTAATCAAAATATACTAAATACCTTAAAATATTTCAAAATATTTAAAAACATTAATAAAAACTAACTAAAATATTTTAAAATAACTCAAAATTTTAAAATTTTGATTTTTCCTTCATCCTCATAAAATAAAAACGTTACGAAATGTTTACGGTGATGGTTTTACAGTTATTTACCTTTACTTGCCGTCACTCCTCTGAGAAGGACTTCTCCAAAAGCCAGTACCGTAAAACCTATCCCACATTTCCTTCTCCAACTCGAGAACATCCTTATCGGAATCCATGGCGGAACCATTCACCAGCTTATCGGTGGCAGGCATCGAAACCTGATGCAATTGAAGCTCCGTGTCATCACACCCGCACCCCCGCCGTGGCAATCGTCCCTTCTTGATCATCCGGCGACGGCGCTTACGCCGGATAGCATTCCGGCAAAGACCCGCAGGCAGCTTGTACACGGCCAGCACCAAGAGGTTGACGAGCCCACATGGGCAGCAACAGCACACCACCGCGCACTCCGCTGCGGTGCCACCGGCCACCTCCGCCAACCGCACGCTACCCCTAGACGACGAGTTCTGGCTGGCCAATAAAGGTTGCTGGCGGTCCGCCGACAACGGTGGTGGACGGAGAACAATTTGTCTAGGCATATTATATCCACCCTTCGATTAAACCCAAGAAAATTCCTTGTATCAACGAAGATCAAGAACTAAAAATGGGACTTTTGATTGGGGATATTGGGAAAATATCCGAGAATTAGAGGATGGTGAATTGAGGATGATCTGCCATGGGTGGTAGCTGGGGGAGGTGTTTAGTGGCTGGCCGTGGTGGCGAACTGATTCGGAGGGGGTGGCTTGGCTGATATACTAGGGAAATGGTTCAAGACCCAAGCCCCAAGCTCCCTCCGAAATGGTGGGAATTTGTGGTTTTCTATGAGCAATTTTTAGTTTTTTTTTTTTGACTGGTTCAAATGAGGTTCTTGCTCCTATTTTTCCGCCTTCTGTTTCGCTTTTCTTCGCTTTGTGTGTGTCCTGGAGAGAGAAAAAAAAGGGTTGAATTGAGGCCTGAGGTGACTACACAATTGGGGTGAGGGATTTTGTTTTTTTTTTTTTTGGGGGGGAGGGGATTTTGTTCGTGGGGTGAGTGGAATTTAAAGAAGGGTGTGTAAAGGATGAACAATTTTTTTATTGTATGGTGATGGGATAGAAGTCCATGGTTGTGTTTTAAAGTAAAAAAGGCAAAAGGATATTGAAATGTGAGGGCACGGCAGTCTGAGAGGATCACGAGAGAAGACAAAGAAAAGGACATGGAGATAATGTGAGGGGGAAAATGAAACGGACTAATGGATGAAATGGACTAATGGATCATGGAGTAGTAATGTTATGAAGTCATTGAGATCCCTTAGACAATTATTTTTGTTTTGTTTTTGCCGATGGTAAATCACCTACAATTAGTGATTGTGATTATGATATAGAGCTCGTTATCATATAAAATGATTTAATAGTTATTGCTTTTAATTTCGATTGTTTTGAGATCAATTCAATCGCAGGAAATTGTCGCCTATAAAATCTGGGATCGATTGTAATCTTAAGATTGGTAGCAAACAACACTATTTTATCATAATCTCATTCGATTGAGTCATAAGCTAACCTGATTGAATTGTAATTTTTATGAAGGTACTAAAAAACAACCCTTTGGTATTATTGTTTTTTCTAGGCAAGAATTTATATAGGAACAATATTTGTAATTAGCCTACTACTTATGTATGGTAGATGATCAAATATTGAAGAAAATTATAAAAAAACGTACACTACAAGAGAAGATCTGAATCCCAGATGAGATTAGGAGGCAGTTGGTTGTTGGATCACATGTCGATGTGGAAATTAGGAGAGAAAATAAGCTAACAAACAAAGATGTCACAAAAATAATCCTAAGACATAACAAGGAAAGAAAAATGGAGTGAGAAAGAGAAAGATGAGAATAATAAATTGGGGGAGACTATGAACTTACTTTGGCCCTGGCTTTTCCTCTGTTCACTTATGCATGTTGAAGTCAAAAGTGGCTCCATTCTCACAATAAGGTTTCATGAATCGTAGTATAAAATAACTTTGAAGGGTATAATGTGAAATACGTTTTAAATTTAGAAGAATATTATAGATTGAAGATGAGGGGAATGAAACTCCAACTTACACCTGACATAGTAAGAAATAATCTTGCAAAATAAGATATAGATTCTCTTCATTACACTTTCAATTAACTGTAGATTATTTATCATTAATATACATGAGACCCACCATTTATCAGTGGTTCCTTCACCTATACACGGTGAATAATCTATTATTGAAGCAAATTGAAGAAAAATATAATAAAGAGGATCTCGGTCCGTGAAATAGGCTCAACCTTTACTTTGATATGAGAAATTCTATAATGTACAATCCTTTGTTGAAACATTTGGATTATGTCTAGAATACACAGACAAACACAACAAAGCCAAGTAAAATTGGACAAAAAGCTGAGTACAGTTAGTGCTGTGCAACTTGTTTTTAATTGAAAAAAAGTATATAGGATACCAAATCACAAAGGTTTTCACCGTTGCAAGTAATTCCACCGATGTGTTCCATAATAAGTCAAACTGTTCTTTTTCAACTTCTTGTGTGTTAGTACTTTCTGGTTTGTCAATTGTTTGGTTGGGGTTGGGGTTGGGGTGGTAGTGGATTGGATTATGGATTAGAAAATTTCATCAATACTCATTTTAGTTAAGGTTAAATTCAATGATACTCCTTCTTGATTCTAAAAATTCACTGCACCATTTTCTGGTTTGTATTTTCAAATTAAAGATACTCTCTTAACGATAATTTTTAATTCAGTCAGTACAAAAAATGACGGTTTAACTATCAATTTTTTAAAAATGTCAAAACTATCATTTTTTTATGTAAATATACTAAAATTTCCTTAACTCTTTTTCCATTATATATACCATACATTTTGTATTTGTGAAAGTCCAAAATGATTTGGGGTTGTTGGAAGACATAAGGGACTGAAGTCAGCTATTATTCTGCAACTCGTTCTCCACAGTGATTAATTACTACCTAAGTTGATAAACAAAATTATTTTTTTCTTGCATATTTGTAATGTTTTTCATGCAGATATTTTAAAATTTTTTCATACAATTTTTTTTTATTTTTTTCATGTAGATATTTTTAATTTTTTTTCATGCAGATAGTTTTAATTTTTTCATGCAATTTATTTAAAATTTGTACATCCAAAATATCCGTTAGACTTTTAAGTCATTAAGTCCATTTTTTTATAAGTTGTTGGGTAAAAGATACACTTTTCGATTTCTTAATTTCTTATATTACCTAAGTTCTCTCTGTGGTATATTTTTTTTTGTTCGTTATAAATTATAGGGTTTTAAATTTATTTATAGTTAAAAATAATTTTTTTATAATAAAATTACAATCGCTAAATTCAATGTCAAAATTTCGTTACTTTTTAACTTTTCTGTTATCGTGTTTCATCCACAACGTTACTTGACTACTCTTCACCCTTCATATATAAAATTTAAATATTATTTGGTAATATTTAATATTAATTAAATAAATTTCATCTTAATATGATAAATTAAATATTAATTTAGTTTTAATTTGATAAATTAAATATTAATTTAGTTTTAATTTGATAAAATTTAATGTTAATTGAATAAATTTAAATGTTACTTTAATAAAATTTAATCCTAAAAAATTTTGGTGTTAAATTAAATAACTGACATTAATTTGATAAGATTAAATATTAAATTAATAGAATTTAATATTTTTATTTTAATTCAATAAAATTAAATGTCGTTGAAATTTTGATATTTACAAGGTGTGTCGTTAAAATTATATCTATATATAAGAAGTGTGGATAAAATTTACCCTATAAATTATTCAAAGGTATTTTTATAAATTAACAATCGGCGTTAACGTCGTAATCCAATAAAAACTGACAAGGGGTGATAGTGAAGTTTCAGAATCGGGAGGAGGTATCATTCAATTTAAACTTAATTATAAAGGATGTGAACAAAATTTTTTCTTTCAAAAATTTGATATGAATTCGATTAGATGTATCTTATTTTTATAGTTTATACCCAAATCAATCGGCAATCCAAACTTGAATTTGTTCTGATCCAAATAACTTAATATAATTAAAATTTATTAAGTTACATTTAAATTTTTTTAAATAATTATTTAATATTTTTATTATTTATATAAATATATATATATATATATTTCGAATGGGATTATAATCAGAATTTATAGAAGTAACATTAACACTTAACAAATGGGGTTTTTAAAATTTTACTTTAAACAATAAATTATTATTTTCTCCATGATACCAATGAGATTTACAAATGAGGTGTAAGGCAAATCGTACAATCGGTGGTGTGACTTGACGTGACGTTAGTTTCGTCCCCGCGTGCAGTGTGCCAATAATATAACACTGTACCTCCGCGTGGCAAGCTGACCTGTATTTTTATTATTATTGTGACCCGAGACAGGATAAAGCGGGTCATGTTTGGACGCCTTCTTTTTCAGAAATCGGGTACGTGGCCAGTTGGCGGGTTGTGCTTGACACGAAATGGCAAGATAAGTGTTAGAACCCCACAATGGGGTCAATGTCTTAAATTTAAGAGATTCATGATGGTTCAATACTGTATATAAACCGATTCTTCGATGAACAGTGGAGAGGGTCGGGAGATTGAAGTTAAATTAATAATTGAGTCGAGTTTATTTTTTTAAATATGTGTGAAAAATTGTTTAAATTCGATCCGTTTAGAGTTTGTAAATGAGCCGAATTCTAGTAGTTCGATTATTTTATATATTAACGAGTTAAATTTTGTATGTTCAAGTTGAGTTTTCTTAGTTTTTTTTTTAAATGAGTTAAAAAAATTATTTAAATTTAACTCGATTTTTTTAAATGGGTCAAACCCAAATTGAACACAAAACAAACCAAACTCAAATCGAACTCAAATAACTCGGCTCGGTTATAAATTCTATAAGGAGGAGGAAGACCTCCATGGTTTCTGGAGAAAGTCTTGATATTGCATCAAATAATCAATAAATTGAATTAGTTTTATAATTGTGTTACGAGCTAAACTTGCAGTATTCTTTTCCAAGTATTGGATTTTTTTAGGGTTAATTGTAAGTTGTACCTTGAAAAATAGTAAAATCTCAAATTGTACCCCCAAAGATCAAAAATTTTAATTTGTACCCTCAAAAATAGAAATTTGTTTCATTGTGCACTCCCAAAGATAAAAATCTCAATTTGTACCCTCAAAAATAGAAATTTGTATCAATGTGCACCTAAAATTAAATTGATATATTACACCTAGATCCTCTCATACTTGTCACTTAATTATTTGGATCCCTTCACATTTAGAATATTACTTCTATATCTCATGACATTTGTGCACATGTAACACGTAATCTTTTTTCATTGATATCTGTTAATATAATCGTTAAAAAATATGATTTTATCCTAATAAAAAATTATAATTTCATATTACCCTTTATTTTGTGGGTTCGATATACTCAAAAGTTTAAAGTCAAACTTACCATTGGACATTATAATTTTTTATTAGGATAAAATCATATTTTTTAACAGTTATATTAACAGATATCAATGAAAGGGGATGACGTGTTATGCGTGCACAAACGTCATGAGATGTATGAGTAATATTCTAAATGTGAAGGGATCCAAATAATTAAGTGACAAGTATTAGGGGATTTAGATATAATTTATTAATTTAATTTTAAGTGCACATCGATGCAAATTTCTATTTTTGAGGGTGTAAATTGAGATTTTTATATTTGGAGGTGCACATTGATACAAATTTATATCTTTAAGGGTACAATTTAAGATTCCAACAATCTTTCAAGGTACAACTTGTAATTAACCCATTTTTTTAAGCAAGAATCGCACTTTGCGTGCCGGAAGATTTAAGAATTTTTTTTTATATTTTTAAAGATTAAATTTTATATAAGATATCCTTAATATATCAAAAATATTATAATGTGACCCATCTATTATATTTCGTTATTTTTTCATCAATGTCAATGAGTGAATTTTTGACCAAAAAAAAATAATAAAAACTAATAGAAGAGTCACATTGTAACATTTTTGATACATTG